ATATATATATGTATGTATATTTATTTATATATTTAGCTATTTGTAATGTTTATCATGTACTACTATGTAATTTTTAACATTTCTATTTTCATATTATATACAGCTATATAAACATTAATTATATTTATTTATTCATCAGGAGGAAGTGACACCCCCTTTATATATGTCATTTAATTATAGAATTATATATGTGATAATATATACTATATATATTATAATTAGCCATTTATAATATTTATAAGACATACTATTGTGTATTTACTTGTAGTTTTATTTATTTTTGATTATTTTACTCTTCCTGTTTCCTATTATATACAATAGGGCTACAGTACATGTACGCATGTAGGTATATGTCACATTACAGAAGTCGGATGGGTTTGGAAAGACATCTCATGACATGTTTGTGACGCATGTCTTTGTTTGGTTGTTAACTGGAGGAAGTGACACCCTCTTTTGAATGTTTCCTCCACTCACAAGCGCCGTGTGTGTTTGTCCTGTAGTGTAGTCAGTTCTCTGTCTGAAGTACGTGTGCTGGAATGTAAAGCAATTTAAGTGACCAACGCACACTGATCAGCCCACTAACACACACCGACCATGACCCACACACACACGCCACACTCAGAATCACTTAACACACACCCTTAAAGAGACAGTACACCCCAAAATAAATGCTGTCATCATTTCCTCATCCCAAACCCGTATGACTTTCTTCTATGTGTGAATCCCAAATATAGGTGCTTATAAGATGAAAACAAAACAAAGACATAAATGTGTGAGTGAATAATGTCAGAATTTCTCACTATGGATGAGCTGTTCCTTAAGACGCTCTCGTTAGACTGTGTCGTGGATTTACTAGGACTTTGATGTCAAAGGTCATCGTCGGGGTCACTGATAACAGGCCAGACGAGTTCTTTAGCTGAGCTGATTCGACTCCAGACGTGTTTTTGAGATGCTTGTCTGCACAAGGTTAAGGCTTTTATCTAGTCTTGAGTGGCAGAAATGAGCTTTGTTTTTCCACTAGGGCCTGTTTACTGTGAACGCAGCCTGACATGACTGCTGCTGCATGGATTTCTGCGTAGAAACTTTGGCAAGGCAGCGTAACGCTGGAAATAACAGGGTGTTTGAGCCAAAAAAACCCAAGTGCCCTCCCTTAGAGAGAGAGTGTGTGTGTGTGTGTGTGTGTGTGTGTGTGTGTTGTGCTGTGCGTCTGTTGTTATTGTCACCAGGTTTTACTGCCACGTACACACACACACACACACACATACATTGACAGCAGGCCTGCTGTGTTTTCTGACGCTGTGTGTTTGTTTATTTTGTTCTCTGCAGACTTTCCCACGCACACAGATCTGCCATCAAGGTCATCAGAAGGATGCAGTACTTTGTGGCTCGACGGAAATTTCAGGTACTTTTATTTTGTATGTCAGAATCAAGAGATCAAGTGCAGTTTCGTGTGTGTGTGTGTATATACTGTGTATATATATATATATATATATAATAGGAAAATTTACTATTCCTATTACCCTATTTTCTTATTATATTATTTTCACCACACCACACACACATATATGAATCTCTTCATATTTTAGTGCATATTTATAAAAATTCTATAAAAAAGTGAAAATGACTTTAGTTTTCATGCTTTCAATGAGCCTCATTCATGAAACATGAGCAGATCGAATTTGTTTGAACGCTCATAAAACAAAATAATCACTTCGAATAGTTTTGTGAAAAATGTACACAAAAATTTGTTCTTGTAAACAACCCAATTAGTCAAGAAGCTACTAAAACAATTATTACATTAGCATATATGCGTTTAGCAGACACTTTTAGCCAAAGCAACTTACAAAAGAGAAACCAAAGCAATTCAAAAACAGTGATCTAAACCCAAATTAATAAATATGCTCAAGTAAACTTTCAGTCAAAACTGAGACAAGTTGCATACCTTTGCTATTGTTGTTATTGAGTTAAATTGAGCTATAATAACAAAGCGAGGAAGTTCAAGTCCTGAGGGAGCTGTGATGACAATGACTCTCATGGATGCCGTCTCTGTCCCGCAGCAAGCGAGGAAACCGTACGACGTGCGGGACGTGATCGAGCAGTATTCGCAGGGCCACCTGAACATGATGGTCCGCATCAAAGAGCTCCAGAGAAGGTGAGACTCCATGTGACGTCACCTCAGAGTTTATTCCCGTTCCTTCCCACAAAATTAGTGGCGTAGGTGGGATTTCCAAACAATCGCTGTGTATTTCACAGTTTCCTGCTGTTTTTCCTCTCGCAGGTTGGATCACACGTTGGGAAAACCAGGAATGTTCCTGCCAGGTACAGGAAAACTGAGTTTTTAAATGTTCCCACATCAAATACACATTCAAAATGCATGAAAAAAGCACAAAAAAATAAGCACAAAATCGTAATTGGTGGTCGACCGATATTGGTTTTTTGACTGCCGATGCCGATATCAGTCGATCGATATAAATGTATTTATTTTAATTAATATGCGTAGGTGGGATTTCCAAACAATCGCTGTGTATTTCACAGTTTCCTGCTGTTTTTCCTCTCGCAGGTTGGATCACACGTTGGGAAAACCAGGAATGTTCCTGCCAGGTACAGGAAAACTGAGTTTTTAAATGTTCCCACATCAAATACACATTCAAAATGCATGAAAAAAGCACAAAAAAATAAGCACAAAATCGTAATTGGTGGTCGACCGATATTGTTTTTTTGACTGCCGATGCCGATATCAGTCGATCGCTATAAATGTATTTATTTTAATTAATATTTAAGAAATTTGAAATCATTTGAAAATGGATCAAAAACTACATTTGTAAAATAAACATAGTTATACTTTAGATGACAAAGTATTTTCCACAAATAAATAAATATTTAATAAAAATATGATTAAAAAGGAAGTAAACTGTAACCAACAGAGCACTCAGTATTCTGGGAAGTTTGTGTGCATTAGGAATCATATTTTTTCAAATAAAGCCAAGGTAACACTCATTTTAAATAAAGCACACAGTGGAAATGACATGAATATGACAGTGGGCAAATGCATAAAGCACAGCATAATTTGAAATCACGAATTTAATGTTTAAAGCATTCAATTTGCACGGACCGAAAGTCAAGCAGAGAACACGCAATCATGCAGGTCACATGCACACTTCACAAGATCTCACAACTGGATTCGACTAAGTTTGCAAGGTTTGTGAAATTAAATTTTCATTAGCCATTCAAAGATTTGTTTAAATTATGTAAATGTGTATTTGCTGAATGCTGACGGCAAACGAGAAAGTATTATAATGTTTGCCTTTCTATTACTAATAATATAAAAGCAATCGTTATAATACTTTTTGTATACATTTTAATTAATTTGTTTATATTTGTATTTGTTTCATATCGATGCCGATATTTGAAAAATGCCAAATATCGGCCACTAATCGTAACGCTTCTGTGATCTATTATACTTGTTTTTTAAGTAAAGAGTTTAAACAATGAACCCAGATTGTTAATTGAAACTAAACTGCAAACGTGGAAACACACGCAAGTGCAGAAACCATTTTGATTATAACATTGCATGCATCTCATTAACATGTAACAATAATAATTCAATATACGGCAACTTTACCCACTCTAAACAGATGCTAGCCAATCAGAAGTCATTTACAAGTTAAATGACCTCTGATTGGCTAATAGAATACATACTTGCAAATACAGACATCACATCCATCTCATTAACGTGCAGCCTCCCATATTACAACTTGAATAGACCAAAGTGAATAAAGGAGGGAAATGTAATGCAAACTAGCCACCTTTCGCAGAAAATGTTGCATTTTTAGCTCAGAGTAGGTAATTTGTGTGATTCCAGTAGATCCGATGCGTTTTTGATACTTCAGTACAAAACAGTGCTGCTCTTTGACAAAAAGTGATTTTTAAATGTTACAATAGTGAATTTATAATGTCTAAATATAAATCCAAATTGGCAAATGAGCCATTGAGTGATCCATTATGGCCATCTACTGGTTATAGTGGTAATATCATGTTGTTTTCGTTTTAAAAGTGTTTGTTTTCCACCAGATGCCAGAAATCTCTCACCTAAACATATTTTCCATGAATTATCTCAATGAATAAAAATGACAAAATGCAGATCTTGAATTTAACATACAGATATTGTTCCCATTTTATATAAAATATACAAAAAAGGAATAATTGTGAGCCGAATAAATAATAATAAAAATGACAAATCCCTCCCAAACTGCGTAATTAAAAAGTGAGCATTATTAAAAAACACTTTTTTTTCACCCCTGATGAGTTTTCAACCTTCCAAGCACAAGCTAGTTACAGTAGCAAGAACTGCCTGTTTAAATAAAAAGATGGAAAATAGATTGAAAAAGCCAATTGTGATGGAAAAAGACTGCAAAACGTTTTAAAATTGATATATGAGTTATATATAGAAGTTTTGCCTCGTATAAAGTGTACTGTTCTGGTTTTCAGCCACTTGGTAGTGAAACACGTGAAGAAAACTAAAGAAGCCTTTTATATGAGCAGGGTGGTTTAATAAAACACTATTAATATTAATATTAATAACAGCTTTTGGCTGTTACATACTGAAAATAATTACTTCTGACTGTCTTATTATTTATCTTTATTGTGTTTTCAGAGAAAGGTGTGGATAAGGAACATTATACAGTGGGAGCCCGGCTCATCCGACTGGAAGATAAGGTACAATAGAGACTTTTTAGACTGAATTTGTCTCCAGAATGTGACATTCTCTAACCATTAGATCATGTCCACTCGATCTCAGAGAGTGCTGAGATTTCACATTTCATAAACAATAAGTCTGAGTTAGCCCACGGATGCTATCCGAATCCTCTGGCTGAAAGTGTAATCATGTAGTTGCGATCTGCTCATCCTGCTCAGACAGAGGACACGCATGCTTCCCTTCAGTCTGTTGTGTTTGTAGAGGAAGCCAGACTGTGATTGAGCTTTGAGGATTTTCAGAGATAATGTGACGCAAATCTGTCAAATGAATCTCAGCAGACGCTCTGCAGCTTGGGTGTCTTCTCCAGCGAATGCGTATCTGATGTGAGTCTCACTGGTGCTGTTACAGCAGATCAATCTATTTTCTATTTTCCATCCTTATATATAAATCGTAATATTAATTAATATTTTGGATTAATTTTGCATCCAAAATAAACGTTTTTGTTTACATAATATATGTGTGCATACTGTGTATATTTATTGTGTACATATAAATACAAACACATGCATGTATATA